GAGATACAAAAAGAGAGTTGCGGCCTCTGGACTGAGAGTTGAATGCGATGCAAAAGTGAAAATAACGCAAAATACTTGACCAAAAAGCACATGCACACACGCACACACGTAGCTACATCCGCACACCCATACACACCAGCACACCCGCACACAGCACACATAAACATGTTATGGAAGATGGCGGCATCTCAGCTAGACAGCGTGTTAATCACACTTAATCTCATTTTTATTTCTGGGTCAGCATCTTTATTTATTTATTTTATTTTGTTTTCTTTTTCTCTCCCTCTCTCTTTCTCTCTCTCTCTCTCTCTCTCTCTGTCTACTTGCCTGCGTCTTTTGTACACGTCTTGCTGGTTGGGCTGTCGCATGCAAAGCAAAACTGGGCGCACCGCGAAACCACCCCGCAGCGTCGCCACCCACTTGGCCGCCGCCATGCCGTAAATATCCTTGACAAATCTTTTTGCCCTTTCGGCGCGCGAAGCGCAAATAAAAAGACATTAATTCGTTGTCGTTGTCCTTGTGGGTGAGCATCGCAGTTGCCGCTGCCCGGACTATGCCAGGACTATGCCGCCGCCGCTGCCGCTGCCACTGCCACTGTGCCAGCTTCTGCCTCAGGTGGCGCTCCAGTCGCCGCCGATGCCGATGCCGACGCCGTCACCGTCGCCTCTTCTCGTTTTTTATAGCCAGGTAATTTACGTAACGAACCTGACACTTTCTAATTTATGGCATCAGGCGGCGGCGTCTGCGCCGCTCCATAGCCCATGGCTGCAGCACGTTGACAATAGAAGCCAAGTCGAGATGATGATGATAATCGGGATGATGGCGCAGATGAAGATGATGATGATTAAATGATGATGGCGATGCGAAATGGCGATAGTCTAGCCGCCTGCCATTTTCATTTGTGGCGTTAACCGCGTGAACTTAACAGCTGCAAGGGGCAAAGAGGCGCGGGCGGGTGGGGGGCAAAGGTTGATATGCTGCCTTTAAGGGTCAGCATGTCGGTTGATAGCGCTTTGTGCAGGTCGAGCAGCATATGCACTATGCAAGAGCCATAACTGATTGGAAATTTCAAGGATCGAAGATCGCCAGCATAGCGCGTGCCATAGCACGCATAGCAGGCAGCCTCTGAACGGCAAACCTAACTTCAGTTGAAATATAAAATTGTTGCTGTTTTTCTTTAAATATATAAATAAATACCAACTATATTGTGTAAAAAGTGTAAGAAAAAAAACTATTTTTATTGGAACTTTTTTGCCAGTTAAGTAAGTCAATTATTAAGGTTGAAGCTTTGAGCCGGGCAGAAAATCGGCTGACTAGATATGATTATATACGATATCATGTAACCGTTTAACTTTGTATCATACATTTCTTTATAAATTAATTGAAATTTAATGTCCGATACAACAAGAACTAAAGCTTGATTTTAAATTACCTTTAAGTACAAGTTTAGTTAAAACCCAGTTTCCATTTTAAATGCTTGGCGTTCACGCAAAAAAAAATCCAGGACTAACAGTTGCCTCATATCTATCAAGTGCGTTTACAGCTGTAATGGCAATTTTTTCTCTACGGCCCAGGCCAGCAGTTATGGGCACAAAAAATGCGAGTGTGTGCTAAAATGGCACAGCTGGAAAAAAAATGCGGTAAAGGGCAACCAAATCCTCACCTAATATGCAAATTTAATGAAGTAATTCAAAGGGTCGAAAGGTTACCATAGGTGACGGTGTGTTGGTTAGCGGAATGAGCGTGTTGGGGCGAGCATTTAATTTTAATTTAACTACCAACGGTTAGTCGACACCTATATTTACACACCCACACACACACACACACACACACATAGCTGAAATAATTCACGCAATTTGCCGCACATTTTGGCTGGCACCCAGACACGAACCGGGATCCAATCAAACTCAAAGCATCTTTGCCTGTTGGTTAATTAATAAAATGAGCTCTGTCGCAGCTCTACATTTTTTTAGTGTCGCCTTTTTGGCATTCACAAAGCGGCTGAACTCCCCCTAAGATTCTCCGCAGCGCGCATTCAAGTCTGCAGACAATGGGTCAGCAGGCTGCCAAAAAAGGAGCATCGGCAAAAACGCTGCCGAAATAGAAATTAAGAGTTAATTGCGTTGCTATTAAATTTAATTGTCGCGCTGCGTTCATCACTGCCCACACAAAAAAAAAAGTAAAAATAAATCGAATGAAAAACAAAAAAACAGGCAAGCAACGTTACATTAAGATGAATGTGTGCTGCGTGTGAATGAAATGAATGGCATTCAAAGGAACTCAAACATGCAGATCTGCATGATGAGGCTAACGTTATCTATGGCAAGTCAAGATTGGAAGATTGTTATTTTTAAGAATTAAATCGAGCGCGCCTGAACTATAATTAAAGTTCCAGATCTACGGACTATAAACTTGTTTGGCTTTGAAACTTATTTATATTTAAATATTAATAACTTTCTTTTACTCAAATGCCGTTAAAAGAATATCAAGAAATTAATATAATAATAAGAAAATTAAATATATAATAAATAATGTCGTTGAATCGATTAATCGATGTCCACTTATTCCTATTTTATCGATTTTTACTGCATGTTTTAATTGCTATCTAAGAAAAGTTAAAGTCGCAAAAAAAGAAGATTAATAGAAACTGCCCAGCGATGTTTTAATAGTAATACCATCAGTGTCACATATATATACATATTTATATGTCTATGAATATGTACATATCATTATTTGATACTTTGTTATCGAGCATTAACTACGCTCATGTATTCTCTTAGCTACTGGGAAAGGCACTAGCAAATTGCCCCCGTCAAGGGAAGCATGCTGAGGCTAACAACACGCAACTTAAAGAATTTCTAAATTTTTCTCTGGCAGCTTTTAGCAACTGCCCTATGCAGTCTAGGGAAATTTATACCAAATTGCTGCGGAATAGCTGGTAGTTCTTGGAACTTCAGTGCCAGTCGGCGGACATTTTTCCAGCGGCAGGCAACATTTTGAATGAGCGCCTTAACCGGACAACGTCGGCTTCTTAACAAATATTTATAAGGATTTTTATGGGATTGGGATAAGTAAAAATAATGATTAAACTTGTTGTTAGCATCGATTGTTTTCGTAAATCGATATACATTTCGGATTTTGTTTACTGAAAGCAAATATTTGTTCATTAGACCTGAGCTGGATGAATATTATTTGTACATAGATCGATTAACTGCTATAATTACAAATGTGCCCTCGAATAACGCGCGTATGTGTGCGTGGAAGACCTTTGTAGCGACGTCGCGTGATTGACATGCCAAAAATTATGATAATGTGATGTTCACATGACAAACGATGAATTCATACGCCATGTTGGCCCGCCATATTGGTGTGAACATGCGCAAGCATGAGCGACTCCCGCGGCAGTTGCGTGTCCACAAGGACATATTGCTGGCGGGAGCATGCGGCAGAGGGCCCCTCGTGTATGCAACATAATTGAAAGCTGCATGCGTCAACATAATTTTCTGACAACTTTAGTTAAGCATGTAAATTAAGTTAAAAATAACGATGACATTGGTTACATAAGCGTATATGCATGCACAAACTGCAACAAAACTGAGCAGAGCGGAGCTTAGACCAGGCCAGCCCAGGCCAGGGCAGTACGAGCCGAGACTCAGCCGGGCTGAGGCATGCCACAGCCGGAGCGCTGGCTGGTTGCCCGACCCTCTGCCTGTCCGTCACTTTGCGCATTTTTCTGTTGGAACACTGGCACGGCTGCTCGTAATTGGAGCGTGGAATATCACTCTTCATGTTATGACATTTTTTCGCCAACAGCGAATTAATTGTGCACAGCAATAAATTTCGAGTCAGCTCAAATAATAATAATCTAGCCATAAGTACTTATTTGATGCCATCATTTTTTCCAGCCTTGAGGCTTCGAAAGGCTTTCCTTTTGGAAGCTCACTTCGGACTCGTCTGTTTATATATTTAAATATAGTTAAGATCCCGATAAATACTGAATTGCTAAAATTTTGCTTTTCACTGACGTTTGTATATTTAAGCATAAAAAAAAGCTGCAAAAAATTCACGGAAAGCTTACGATACATGTTCGAATCCTAAGCTGGATTATATCCCCAACGAATGGCCTAACCTGGTCTAATTGAAAATATTATTAAAACAGAATTTTATTGAATTCAATAAGAATATATATGTTAATACAATCATTTTTATTTCCTGTTAATTGAAAGTCATATTTAAATACAAGGCATTCGATTTGTAGCCCGAGCCTACATTTTTATTCATTAAAGCTAACCAAACCCCTTTATTCATATATTTATTTATTTAAAATGGAATTAAAATTGAAATTAAATTTTTCAAAATTGTTTGCAGTGCATTCTCTTGCCTACCTTCGAAGTATTTACATGCAACACACACCGACTACCTGTGTTGGCGCTGTATGCTGCAGTGTTGCGGCTGCCGCAGCTACTGCGTGGCTGTGGTAGCTACCCCAACCCCCCCCCCTCCCACCGACCCGCCGGTCTCCTTTCCCAACACGATATGCAAAGCAAACCGTTAAGCAGCAAAAGAAACCGACGCCAAGGTTACCAGCGCTACTCGCCCATATATTTCATATGTGCATGCTATTAGTGTGTGTGCGGGTGTGCGGGTGTGTGTGTGTGTATATATATGAGAAGACACACCCATACACCCACAAACACACACACGCACACACTGCGCTAGTTTATAGACGCTAGTCGCAACGCTAAGACAAAGCATATAACGGCAATGTTCACATTTTCTTGGCTACCCATTGGATGCATGGCTGCATGTGGCAGCCGCTGCTAAGAGAATAAAAAAAAATAAAAAACAAAAACAAAAAAATAAAAATATGTAAAGAAAAAATAAAAACTAGATGAAATATGTGCGCTCGTTAGGCTTTGGAAGCCAAGAATAAAAGACACTTGTCTGACAGTCAGATTGCTTCGAATATTTATTTAACAATATGAGCGCGCGAGAGCCCATGTTTATATAATTATCACACGGGGCGTATGCGTTATATGCAAATTAATTGACACAGCAGGACACTGGGTGAAATCGCTTTAAGTGAATTAGACACGCGGCAGGTTCTCATACACCTGTCAAATGCTTAATATCCATTCAGCTACAAAACTATCGCTAACACATAGCTTCACGCTCCATGGCCATTTACTCCATTGTCATCCTCAATCTCGTTGTGATTCTCATCGGCAGCGTCGTCATGGATGGCGAACAACTTTTGCGTTAGCCATTTGCACCCCCAAGCTCCAGCCACAAGCATATCTACTGGCTACAGTAACAACAACAACAACTACAAGAACAACACTGGGCACAACTGTTATTAACGAGAACGCCCACAATGCCAGTAAAGTGCTTCATATTACGCCACTAATTGCATAATTTCGTTGCCATTTTTATTAGTCTCTGCGATGGTCTCGCCTTTGATGTCGCCAGCAGAGCACCAGAGCAGCAGCCACTGAAGCATTCAACAGACCATCGACCAGCATTTACCATCAATGTACCATTTGGCAGCTATCCAGTGTTAGAACTTCCCATGAGGGTGTGGGTTGCGGCTAGAGGTTGTTGGCACTTTCCGTGCCATTTAAGTTGGAGGAGAGTTCGAACGGGCTAACGAAATGCGAATGGTCGCCCACAAATGTCATTGGATTATTATAAAACTGGAGTATTTATTGCATAACATGTTCAGACACATTCATTGGGGCATCTATGGTCGCTGAGCTGTCATCGATTCGCCACACTGCGATTCAGTTAGACGCGGTTCGGTGCGGTTCAATTGAATAAACTGGTTACTAGACATGCAATGCACGGCTGAACCGCCATTCTAGATTTAGTTTTTAATATGAATCGAAGCTTAAATATCAGAAACCAATATAATTAATATGAACCCAAAATTCAGCTGAACCAAAACCCGAACCAAAATAACGAAAATAAAAATAAATTTTCATGCCCAGAAGATATAAGCCTTGTGTCCCAATCATTGTCGAACCATATTTATTAGATGCCAATATTGATTTGAGTTAAAATCTAGCCCTCAGAAAATATCTACAATTTGCAAATATTTTCAGTAGTACGGGCTATTATAAATATCAAATGGGCTTCGACCAGACTTGTCAGAATATAAACTCAGCTAAACAGAATTTTTTAATAAATATTTTCAACTTTCCTTTGGAACGTTTAGTTCCAGTTCAGAAGGATGTTGGGTATGCGCATATAAATGCCTGTTTGTATTTAGTTCTGAGTGCAAGTCTTGCTCGATTAAGCAGAATTTTTCAAAGAGAATTGAAATGAATATCAGAGGAATAGGGGGAAGGGTAGTTGAAAATGGGAAATGTAACTGGCGCCATATAAACATATTGCTGTAACTATCTGTATTGGGCAATGGTCAATTTACCGATTTGGATTTGGGCAGAATCCTCATTTTACCTGACAGATTGAATTAGTCCAAAAATGCTGGTAACCATAATTTGGTGATATTGTAAGTCTCCGTCCGATGGTTGCAACTATAGTTGTTGTTGCTATTGTTGTTGCTCTTGTAGGCATCCCGTATACGCATCCTTTGTTAAGCATTGCAAGCTTTGCTGCCGCCCGAAGCACCCACACTGTCCACACATTCTCTCGTAACGGCATGCTCCCACATTGAGACTGAATTCAATCCTTAGCATAGATACAGCTTTCCGTTGTCAAATGCTTTGCTTCGATTTGTGTGTGTCTCTGTGTGCGTATAAATGGAGTTGTTTAAATTTTACAAAGGTTCATTAAGCAGCGGAAATATTATGTTGAGCGTCTATGCACGGATGCGCTTTGTGTTCGAGCTCAAGGCTTGGTCCAAAGTCCGGTTATTTGCAAAACTATATTATTAAATAGACAAATTATGAAATTATTGAAATTGTGTTTTAAAACGTCAATAAACCCGACGCTTGACGGAATTAAATGGACTGGCAAAATTGCTTCATTCGTTTTTAAATTGGTTCTTTTTGTTCGATTTCTATTGTGTAAGCTCTTCATTATTTAATTTGTTGCAGTCATGTTTGACAGACGCTTATTAAACATTACGTTCGGTTTCAGTTGACTATCGAAAATAGCAATATTTTCCAAATCATTTGTATGTATCAATATATGAAATTCCTTTGGACAACAAAAATTGTTGTTGGTCTAGGACAATTTAAGTTCTTTCCAATGTTTGAATATGTCTGCATGATTTTGTGCTTTCAACAAAATACATAATTCATTTAATTATACTTAAATTATATCAAAAAGCGAGTGTGCCTTATTAGGAAATGCACAACTGCTAAATACTTAGCCTGTACCCAGGGCTGAGTTGCCGTAATAAGCATGAGCTTTCCTTCTTACACACAAAAATGCACACAACCTGTGCTTCTTCTTGTTTCGGTTCCACATTTTGGAAGAGACATTCTTGAATAACCTCGGGCTTAATAGCCCGATCTTGATGAAATTTTCAGGTCCTAAGAAGAGCACGATTCTACCTTTGAATATTATTTATTTTTTCTTTTAGGGAAAGTGGGAGACGTTTTTAAGAAATATCAAATAGGGAGGAACCTATAAAGGGCTGTGTATACTAAACGGAGAATAATCTCGGAAATTTTCTCAGAGAATTCAGTTTGAAAATTGAAGCTTATCGATTTCAGCCAAATGGGTCTAGCTGCTAACGATGTGCCCATGTGCAACCGAAATATCTTGGAAACAAAAATGAAATAAAATTGTTTCACTGTTTGTTTTTACAAACCCGGACTTTGAGCCAGTTAACAAATATTTTAAATATGGAAAGGTCACCAAAACAATCAATAGATTTTAAATAGGTTTTATCTTAGCTTGCCTTATTTGCTTTTTTTAGATATCTATCTCGTATAACCTCCGAAATCTTAAGTACCTGCCAGTCAGCTGCCAGCTGCTACATACACTTGCAAATTGTCAAGGGGCACGGTCTACAATAAACGGAAGTAGCTTTTTTGTAGCTTTAAAGTTTAATTGGTTGTGGCTTTTTTAATAGATCCGGAACAGTATTCGATAGACTTTTTTTGCGATCTTCACAGCACATCTCAGCACAGCTCAGCTCTATTGAATTGCACAAAATCGGGCTTTTTTACAAATTTTCTTTGTGCGCCTCGCCTGTGATAAAAAGATAAGAATACATAAGTATATATCTAAGTATACAAACTACGGCTGCACTTACCAGAAATTTCTGTTTCTTCACATCGGATAGGCGACACCAGGCGCGCGCGGCCTTTTGTGCAAGATCCGGTCCTGACAGCGCTTGTGGTCTTTCGCAATATTCCCGTAAAAATTGCAAATATGCTTTGTTCATAGTTAGATTAGGTCTGCAACCTTTATTGTGTTTAATGCTGATTCGAGAGTTACGCTTACGGCTCACGCAGTTCACATTGGGTTTCTTGAGGCCCGTTGAGGTGGTCTTCCTGTCGCGCGATCTAGCTGTCGGCGTGCTCTTGATCTTGCGCGTTCTGGACATTGATCTAGAATTGGGCTTCCTTCGGTTAATTGAGTTTTTGGGCTTTGAAGGCGACTTCAACTTTGATCCCGAACCCCTTATTCTCCCTCCAGCTTTTCTAGTAGCGGGGAATAAGGAACTGGCCTTTAAGAAATATTTAAAATAAATGCTTTTAATTTCTAGCTTGGCGTTTCGTTTACGGCGCTTACCGCTTCTGCTGTAGTCGACGCTAATTCTGTTTTGGGGACCTGTAATATTTCGCATGGCAAGTCTTCATTTGCGTTGCCCAATGACCCATTGCTACGACCTGCTTCTGCGTTATTCTCATCCATGGTAAAGTCTAAGGAAGTTACGTTATCACACACATAGGCAGCGCTAATAATACTCAACTTGTACTTACCAATTATAAATTAAATTACTAGGAATATAAACAATATTAATTCCTTGAAAAAAGCACTAAGACTAAACAATTTGTTGAAGTGTTGTTTCTTGATGGAATGTGATTTGGAACTGGTTTTAAAAAAAACTCAGCCCACGTGAGCTACACAGTGACAGTTGGGACGGAGGCATTTTGCACCTCTTTTCAAATCAAGTCAAATCTTAAAGTTCGGATTGAAAAGAAGATGTTCTACTATCAAGGTAGTACCCACTTTTCCAGGTTGACTTGTTTTCTTTTTGTTTCACCGGTTTTCCCCCAATGGAGTAATCTTTCTCGAATTGGTAGAGATTTGAGTGAGTTATGTTTCAAAAGTTTAAAATAATAAAAAAATTTTGGCCATGAAAAATAAACAAATAAAAAACAGCATTAACTTTATTAAGGTCGTCAAGTCCATAAAAAATCGATAGATTTCATCGAACGAGTCGCTGCTCAGTGTTCTTTGTCCTTGTGCTCAAGTCATGGAGCATGACAACTATTAAAATCGGTGGCCGGAGGAACCCGAATCGTCTTCTCCACGATCGTGTGCTTGTGCTCAGTAGCGGCGTTAAATGAAGAGCCGCACTTTTCCGCTCAATTCAACAAAATGCCGCATTTCCTGCACCTACGTACGTGCTCGGCCAGCTCTACAGGCAGATATATGATACAGCGAAAGCGAGAGAGAAAGAGCGGCGGCACTCGAGAGTCGTGGCGCAAGCGAGATGGAGCATATGCGGAGATTATGTATGCAGCAATGCATGAAGTTTAAAAAGTTTCAAGCACATAAGCCACAATGGCCACGTCTCTCCAGGCTTGACATTTATTATCTGCCGGTTTGGCCCCAAAATGAAGTTGTGGCCGCTTTCGTCTTCCAAACGTTGTCGCATACGCACATCAAGACACACACACACACACACACACACACACATATGTGGAGAGAGACGAGAAGCAACAAGGGGCAGTGGGCCCAGGGGATCTGACATCCCGTCGCTGCTCGTTTGCGGTCGACGTCATCGTCGACGGCATTTGCATGCCCGGCTGGCCATTTAACGTGTCCGTGTCCGTGTCGTTGAGTTGGAGGTGTAGAGGCGTGGTCGTGGCCCTTTGATTTCGTTAGGCGAAACTCGGCGACTCCTACGCTCTTTTCCTGCTCGACCCGCTCCTATGCGACGCCGCGCATTACAGAGTCCGCACACGTTTTTCGTAAATGTGCATTTTTCGCTAAATGTTTTGTAAATGTTTCCGTTCCCAACTTTATAATTAGTTGGCATGAGGGCGGCGCTAAAGAAAACGCAGCGTCGCATCGCATCGCGTCGCGTTGCGACGCATTGCAGCGCAGCAGGAAACGGAAAAACGAGAGAAAGCACTGCGGATATTATGTAAGTTAAGCGGCTGACACATTCAGCAGGGTCGAGGGTCCATTGCACGCAGCAAATGTCGACCCAATGTAGCACCATGTCTGTTGCAAGCCAAGTGCAGCTCTAGCGCCAGCTCCAACTTAGACATGCAGATAAGTGCATGCATAGACTACAGAGAGACGTGACTAATATGACGGCACGAGAAACTCACATCTCTATTAGATAATATTGTGCGGCACAGCAGACTTTTGGATGATTTCAAATTAATGCATGACTCTAAGACTTATATAAAAGAAATATTTCCAACGTTTCCAAAGTTCTATATTGAAAATGTTCTAAAACCGCTAACCGATTTCAATAAAAATTGCCTTTACAACACTGAACATTGTTTTCTTTTTTGAAATATGTTACATTATTAATTCCTAATTCCAATTGTAACATCGGCTGCTCTTTCGTTGGTTAATTTGACGTGAGTTCAGTTCATGCTCTTTGCCTGAATCGAAAAAAAATGTTCTGCATTTCAAATTTAGGAAAATTAGTATTGAAAGTGTTCAACAATTAACTGGAATTCTTATTCTATAAGTTTATTTATGTTTTATATGGTCAACCCAGTCTTTCATAAACCAAAATATTTTTTTAAGTATTATTCGGATGTTTGTCAGTTGGGCTTATGTTCGGTTCGGTTAATGTTATAAAATAAAAATTGTATTTCCAAACTGTCTCAAAGAAAATGTCCTGCATTTATTTATTTTTTTTTTTTAATATTAACACAGCACATCTTCCATTTCTCTTCTATGCGCAATCCTGCTTTCGGATAGCTCAAGCCATGCCAAATAAGAATATAGATATAAATAATAAAGATTTTTACCTTTGCAGCCTGTCGCTGGGGTGCCAGGTTTGAAACCTTCAAGGCTGCTTAATTAGATTTTCAGAAGAGATGTGCGCCGCGTGATTGAGGATTCAGGATTGAGCATTGAGTCGCAGGTGAGCGCGTCACGCAACGTTGCGTTGCGGCGCCTCCGATTGAAGTTTTAATTAAAAGCAACTACACGAGTTTCTGCCTCGCATTGGGCCAACGATTGCATCCATGTAGCTACAGCTACGCATTTGTAGCACCTGCCGCCGCTGCTGCCACTGGCAACTTATTAAAAGCTGTCGGCGTTATGCTAATTAGGCAGCGCAACCGACAAATTGTCGCCGCAAATCAATCAGTGTTCGCTCCCAGCAATCCGTGTGGTTTCTTGACGCCCTAGCAGACGAAAAATAAATGTTAAAAAGCTGGCGGAAGCAGCCAAATTAACGGTCCCTCCGCCAACACATGCTGATTAGCGTAATCGGAGCAAAGGCCGACAGCCCGCCTAATTTCAATTTTCAGCTGACGCGCTGAAAACTATGCAACAAATAAGCCTCCACGCACCCCCTCAGCCTATGATTTGATACTGTGGACTATGGACGAACGTTTTATTTTTGAATACGTGTTTTGTCGATTTTGAAATCCGCATGGGCGACAAATTAGCGTAAAGCTATCGTGTTTCATCTGAAAGACTTCAATCTCATTTTCAAAAACCTATGGCAAACGCAGACAAAGTTTACTTTGCTCTTTTATAATATTCCCACAATGCGCAACCAATAAAAACTAAAACGTATTTTCAAATAACGTCCACCACTATGCGATTCTCATGAATTCAAGCAAATGTGTTGCAAACTTAGCGCCTCTAGAGCAAAAGTTCAACGGTTTAGTATTAAATAAATTTAGCTAGTTTCGTTAACAGGAGCTGCTTTAGCCACAGCAGGCCCCAAGAGCGCAAAGTTAAATGCGCCGAAGTGTGCTGATGAGGAAACGGAAATGGAATATGAACGGAAATGCCGACCAGAGGCGCAGCAGCTGCCCGAGTTGTTTCGTGCTCGACTAGCACTTGAAGCCAAAAGGTGTTTATTGAAACGTTAACCGCTTCCAACTGAAGGTCAAAACGATTGCTGCATGAACGCTTCACTTGGCGCCTACCTAACAGCAGGGGGCGTGGCATTGCTGAAACTTTAAACTATGGTCGCTGCTGAGCCTCCAGTTAAAGAGGAATAGAGAAAATATCGAGACGTGTCAAGCAAGACTCGACAGTCAACAACAGCCGCGGCCTGCGCCTGGTCCAACGTGTATCTCTCTGGGGCACCAAAATGGATGTGCGACATTATTAGCTATTTCAGCGGGCAAAAGGCAGAAGGCACAAGGCAGACAACTGAAAAAGCTGCCACTGAAACAGACAAGTAAACGAGTTACGCGCGCGAGGAAAGCGGCTGCCTTTGCTCCTGCCACAGAGTTTGCCATTGCCATTGCCATTGCTGGCAGCAACCAGCAATACACAACACGCGCAGCAGCAACATTGACAACGCCGTGTTTATATGCAACATTGACAGCATGGCGTGACGCGAGTGATGCCAAGCTGCAGCAGCAGCAGCAGCAGTAGCACTTTACCATCAGCATTCCCATTACCAATATTCCTGCTCCTGTTCACAGGCAAGTCATAAAAGTTTTCGGACTTAGATTGTCGCCGTTTTCGGCGTCTGACACCCAGCTAACTTCAGCGGCCACGTGTGCTAGCTGAATATATAAAAGTATATGCAAAATTCAAAATACACTGCAAATGCAAACGAAGCTTCGAAGCCAGATCGTTCGATCAAGCACATCGATTAGACAGCAACAAATAAAACCCTAAGGTCAAATATTATTAAATTTAATAATTCGACTAATTGCGAGAGTTGTTTATGCTGTGCTTCAACTGAGAACTTGATTTGAAAATGCGATAATTAATATTTATAAATATAAATATTAAAAAAAAAAACTCAAATAATATTAATAGATTACAATCTGAAAATATGGAAATACATGGCCCGAAATGATTCGACTTAATTACGATTTTTCATATGTTTCTCAATTTTAAATAATTCCACGGGATTTTCGAACCCTGTCAATCAGCTGAGGATCTTGGTACATGATATTTCAGCATATTTCTAGCGGTTCGTTGAAAACTTTGACAGTACTGCGTATATGAATATGGTATATAGGGAGTAGAGCATCTCAGACAGAAGCTATTTTGCATAAAACTACTGGAGCTGGTGCAGAATCTTTGTCAGTCTCGATGCTTGACTGCGTGCCTGTGTGTGTGTGTGTGTGTGTGTGTGTGTGTGTGTGTGGCTGTGACTATATTACATTTTATGTCAAATGCGCACGCTTTCAATATTGACAGACGCCAGCACGAGACACGGAAACGGATGGGGACGCCACCTGTTCCGGATCCAGAACCGGGCAGGGGGTGGCTGCTACGGCGGCTGCGTCGGCATGTCAAGCTAATGTTAACTTATTTTCGTATTTTGGCATACCTTGCAGCATGCCGGATGTGCCACACACACCCACACCCACACCCACAACCCACAATCCACAGCCCGCCCATCTTGTTGTCAAACTTATTTTTAAATAAAGAACACACTTTTCGGAGACATGCAGCTGCGTGCGGCCAGATGCCACGCCCACCCAGCCGCTGCTGCAGTAATGCATTTTAATTTAGCAGCTGTCTTAGAAGGGCTCACCAATGGGCTTAATGGTCAGCTGATGCACCTGGACATGGGGCGGTGTGCCCAGGGCGTACATAATGCCAGCCGATATGTCCTCCGGCTGCAGCATGGGCAGATTGTTATAGTCGCCGGGCAGGATCTCCGTATTGGTTACGCCCGGGCTGATGCTCTGTAAGCTCAAGCTCAGATAAGCATGTAGCAAAGGAAATGCGAATCATTGCTCACCGTAACTTTAATCTGCGTCTTGAGGCCGTTCAGCTCCTGGCGGATTATCTCGAGCAGCGCACTGATGCCATGCTTTGTAACTGGGTACATATTGAGGCACTGCAGCTCCTCGCTGGGCGGATGGATGATGTGGTGACCGGTGAGGCTGTTGATGAGCACCATATGACCGGCAACATCGCGCTGCTGCATGGAGCGAAAGGCGCGTTGGGTACAGTGAACCACGCCCATCAGATTGACCTGCAGCACGTGCTGCAGCTGATCCAGCTGCATGGTCAGCACTTGGCCGGAGTACAGCATTCCCGCATTATTCACCAGTATATCAATGCCGTCCAAATGTGCCTCGATCCAATCAAAGGCAGCCGCCACTGACGCCTCATCGGCCACATCGCACTTGACCGCATGCAGCTGGGACTGCAACTCCTCCGGCAGCTGCTCCTTGAGCGCCTCAATGAGCTCGACGCGACGCGCCAGACCCACTACAACCAGCCCGGCACGCACCAGATCCTTTGCCACAGCAGCTCCAATGCCCGAACTGGCGCCAGTCACAACAGCCACACGACCCTGCCAGCGTTCCATGGTTCACCTTTGGGATTCCGCAACAATTGGCTTCTTTAATTGACTTTTGTGCGCCGCTGAACGCAGCTATTTCGCAACTGAGTCTAGTTCGCGCTGAGGCCTTCATTATATTGGGCATGCCCAACGCCCAGCCCCGCGCATCCCGCTCCACAAGTGCTTGGGACACACGCTCAAGTTCGCAATTGAATTTTTGAATAGTTGTTGCTTCTGCCTCACGCCCATTTTCACAGTTGAATAATTAAGCGACGCGTCGCTTTATTTGCCAGTTTGACAATTATAATGTGTGGAATTTTAATACCCGCTCACAGAGTGTAGCGTGTATATTGGTTTTGTGCTGCCGTCTATCTGTTTGAAATTGTATGAATTGATGTATGCCAAGCAGATAAAATGTTGGAATCATTTGACTGTGTTCATTATATACACATTAAAATTTTCCAGCGAGAGTGACTAAATTTCAACTGAAGATTGCGAATGAGCTCCTCTTAAGATTATCAATTGTTTATAACACATATTTAGTGGTTGCTTTTATTCAACGTTGAACGAGTATTAGGTAGTCGCTCGCAGCCGATGGCAACATCATTTGTTTAAATTAGCCCCACAAATGGCCCCACACAAATTCTGTAGCTTAACAAGGGAAGCACGTGCCACTATTTCGCTGTTTAACCATTTGATTTGACAGCCTAGCCGACGTTACTTTTAACTTTTGCTGGCCAACTGGTATATCATTTTTTCGAATTCACAAATATATATTATTGGAATCGATCAGTAGCGTCTGATTTCTAGTAAGTAAAAGACTATAGTTTGTGTCGCTTAAAGCTGGATCTGATATACGACCTTTGTAAAGCAGATATTGCAATCGCCTATTATATCTAGCGTATGATCAGATGCCTAGCTTGGTATAGCTTGTGCTCTCCACTGAACTCTCTCTCCTCCTAATAAAATCTTTCAGGCTGACTTCGGGAACTCACTCAGCACACGCATCTATAAGAACTCATAGCTTTCGGTACAGGTTAATAAATCCTCCCATCACTCTCTTTTTGACATTTTCTCTACCAAGTAGGCAAATTCACTAGTACAAATTGATTAATTAGGCTCTTACACAATCTTAGACAATAGCACCAAAGACCCGGCGAATATTAATACAAAATATTATATAAGATCTGAATGCGCTGATCGAAATAATAAAATAAAAAAAAAAATCAGCCCCCAACTCTAACTGTATATAACATAGTTTAAAATTATATCATGTTTATATTAACAACTTTTTTCATTCTTTTCATTTCCTCCAATACTTTTTTATACTTTCTCCCAAGTAACGTAACTTAACTACTTAAGAATACTTCGTTCTCTACTAAAAGCTTCCCCTTTAGCAGTACTAACTTACATCACTGGCAAAATAAACTGTGATTATAGGCATAGTTGGCCGCTCGCACAAATAAAAACCCTCATTTTGTATTCTGTTTAGGCATTTAGCTTTAAATTTTTATATTTTAATGACAGTCGTTTTGTCGACCAATAATAAATAAAACCATCAAATTGCATATTTGTCAGCCGATTCTACCTATTTAGTAAAATTAATATTCTGCCGGGCAACAGAGCAGGTTTTATGTTTTTGCATCTACATAGATCGAGCATAAGAGATAAATTAAGACCGATTTTAAAAAGGGGCAGCTCCTCTTATGGCCAAAAATGTAACTACTTAGCAATTATTGGGTGGAATAAAAAACTGTTGAAATTGATCAATGCAAAACATCTGAAGCAGATAAGTTAAAAACGAAAATGTTTTAGCTTAGCACTTTACATTTTTGCATTCTCATGAAAAAAGTACAGAGCTGTACAAAAGTGCAAAAGCTTATGGTCAAGCCATATATGTTAAAGAAAACAGAGATTGTTTTTAACATTTAATATTATGTTAAGTTGCATTCAAAAATCTGTAAGAAAAACTGAATATAAGAGGTTTACATATAAAAAGTTTCCCATTTTTAAGATTTTATATATATTACATCATACAAATTCTGTAATACAAAATAACTAAACCATCATTTAAGGCTACAATTAACCTGGTATTATCCAGATGTCACGCTGCTAAAACGGTTCGCCCATTGGCTTTATGGTTAGCTCGTGCACCTGAACATGTGGTGGCGTTGCCAGTGCATACATGATGGCATTGGCCACATCCTCGGGCTGCAGCATGGGAAGTCGCTTGTAGGCCTGCGGCACCAGATCCGTATCCACCAGGCCCGGGCTAATGCTCTGTGGCGACGCACATTTAGGTCAGCTATAGCAAAGTCGGATGACTACTTACCGTGACCTTTATGTGGCTTTTAAGGTCGCGAAACTCCTGACGGAAGAGCTCTGTCATGGCGGTCAATGCATGCTTCGTGGCCGGATACATGTTCAGCTCCTGGACGCTGCCGGGCAGCGGATTGAACAGATAGTGACCCACAATGCTGTTGATGAGCACCACATGGCCGGGTGTATTGCGTTGCCGTACTGATTCAAAAATGCGTTGTGTACAGTAAACAACGCCCATCACGTTCGTTTGCAGCAATTCTTGCACTGTGTCCAACCGCATGGTAACCAGTTGACCACCGGATAGCTTTCCCGCGTTGTTTATCAGAATATCGGCACCACCCAGCTCTGCTTCGATCCAATCAAAGGCGGCGTTCACCGACTCTACGCTCGTCACGTCGCATTGCCTTACATGTAGCTGGGCGCGCTGTACCTCTGGCAATTGCTGACGCAGCTGCTCCAGGCGATCCAGACGCCGAGCCAAGGAGACCACGATGACGCCCGCAGCAACAAGCTGCTTGCTGAGCACAGCTCCGATGCCCGAACTGGCGCCAGTCACCACAGCAATGCAATTCTGCCAACGTTCCATGCCAACGGTTGCCATTTGAATGGGGCTTCACCTGTTCGCCAGTCCAAAAGAAACCCTCAACGTCCACTGATCGCGGTTAGCCACTGGCGTAGTATTGTCTCAAAGCACTCACTGCTGTCCCCACGGTGGCGCCCCTGTGGCAGGTGCATCGATTTCCAATTCTATACAGCTCTCGGATTACCAGCAGCTGTAACAATTGCATAAGCTTTCGCTGTGACTGCCTAGCTTGCAGATCACTTCAAGCGTAGAGTCTAGACCGCAAGCAATGAGAGCAGCAGCTGTCAGTTTATTAGAAAATCGCATTTATTTCTGTAAATCTTCAACCAGAAGATTTTGTTGCTTGGCAATGATAATAGAAACCAGTGTTGGCAGGCAGTAGGCTTAACTAAGCGGGTGTTACTGCTTACCAACACTGATTTTTAATATAAATGCCACTTTATTTCTTTTTTATGTTCTTTGTTTTATTAAGAAGTGTATAATTTAAGCCTACCGTTAGCCAGCACTGCTTTTGAAAAAGTACTGCTAGGCAACACTGTTTACGAATATGAATTCCACTTTCAACCAATGTCATTGCATATCGAAAGAACAATTTAAGGATATTGATCTGAGTTCAAACAGAACACATGTACTCCATGTATATACCCCGGTAGGGTATAAAAACATAAATTGAATATTTTATGTTTTAAATAGTTAATCGATTCGCGCTGTCTTGTATATCAATATAAGTTTACGTATTACCACAACAGAAGTTCAAATTAAGCCGAGTGGGGCTCGTATATCTTTTATGAGCAGATCCAAAAACTGCCATGCCAGCCTGTCGGCTGTTCAGGGAAAACAGATGGTAGTTTGCAGGTCGATTTGTATTTAATGGCTTAATGGAAATTCCATGAAGAGAAAATACGTGTACAATACGCGAGGTGTACAAAGGGTATGGGCCCCATAGAGGTTAGGCGGTAGGGTGTAGGGCACAAGTTTGTCACAGCTGCACACATGAAGGCAAAAAATAAAACAAAAAATAAAGACTTAAAACAAAAACAAAAGCTGAACAGCTGCAGAAAAGTTTTTCTTTGAAATAAAAATAAAAATCAATTTGAGGCGCATTTGACAGCGCCGAAACTCAAATAAGAATAACGTAGACCCTACGTAGTGCGCCTTCAATCAAATGCCGGCAATAGTTAGCTAATGTTAAGGGTACACTCAACCAGCCCCTATATAACGCCCCGAATATTTCCCGGCCAGCCCAACAGATGCCGGAGCCTGAGCACACGTGTTATTTGCACACGTGTTTATGGAAATTGGGAAACGTATTTCAAGTTGAGCGTCAGCTCAAAGCGCCGTTTGTTTACCCAGAAAAACGAAAGAAAAATGTGCATGAAAATTTCACTGATTACGTATTTGAAGAGAGCGCAACGAGCAATGAGCAATGAAACGCCGCCTGACAAGTGGCCCAACCAAGGCACAGCCGAGGCATCCTTTTGGCTGCCAAACTTGGGGCAAACACCGGCTCTATTAGGCGCATTAGACGCACGGCCAGACGAACCGACGGGGGCCGCATCACATACATACAATATGCAGGAATTCATCTACATATCATAAGTTATGCTTACTTAGCTGCCATTGGTCATAGTTCAATATATACGAGTATGTATGTGCATTCGAGCTACATTTGCACATGCAAATTGGCAAAGTGGGGTCCACTCGTCATATTTTATTGGGTATGCATAACATGGTCATGCTGTTTGCACAAAAAAATTCTTATTGACTCACACTGGAACTTGATGGCGTGCAAGTATTTCTGCAAAACAGATTTCTGACTTCTGCTAACTAGTAAACATATATTTGTAGCTATATATATCATAGCCTCAGCTTATCAAAAGGCACATGAACATTTTGAAAATTAAAATAATTATAAACTAACAAATAATAATAAAAGTAACACAATGCAATTCATATTCAATTTCAGTTAATGCAAAGAAAAATAAGTAGAAGAAATTCACCAAATAAATTTGGAGGATTTTATGAGAATATAGGAAGTTTACATTCCACATACCTTGTCGGATTTTAAAGTTTCCTCGCTAATCAATAGAAAGTAGCGCAGTAGTGTTGTTAGGATTGTTTCGTATTTTCAGGATATGCTCTTTGACTGGGCGAAACAGAGAGTATGCGCCAATTTACTGCATTTACAGTGAGGTGTGTGGTGGAGAGGGGTGCCTCCGATAGGAGGCAGCTGCAACAGCTGTTACTGCTGGCTATAATTCAAATTTGCAGTTTTTTATGCTAATTCGTTTGATATTGCACAGAAGATGCCGTCCAGACGACAACGAAGACCCTTTTAGCCGTTCACGAAAGAATATGCTACAAATTATGCAGCTTTGCACATGTGTGTGTGTGTGTGTGTGTGTGTGTGTGTGTGTGTGTGTAGGCTAAGAACATGTGCTGGCAGCAACAGCAACTGTAAAGGATACAACCGAATGGTGCAGAAACACGCGCCATTTGCATTTGCCATGACCCCTCGAAGGCGTCAAGCGCAGCATTCCTTAACGTGTGTGTGTATGTGTGTGTGTGTGTGCGTGTGGGGTATGCGGGACTATGTTGTTCAGCTTGTTGTTGCCCCTCTTGCTGGGCAGCCATTTTGCAAAATGCGTCGTCCTTTCCGTATTGCATAATTATGCGCGCATATGGCCAAGTCGAAATCGCAGTCGGTTGGGGTCTCCTTAGGCTATTTGGCCACTTTATGCGTTCAGCCCAGCTCGTATGGATTTTATGGTCTGGCAGGTGATGCGCTGATGCGAGACGGCAGCGATGGGAGGAGGTGATGGAGGTAGGAGGCCGAAACCACTTTACGTTGTTATGGCGGCCGTAAAAATCGGCAAATCGCATCATGAGTGCTACACACAATGTTGCACATAAACTGTGTTAACCGGAGGCAAACCAAGGGACGACTTTGTTGCCAAATCGCTTTAGTCTTTTTGTACCTTTCCGCCATGCGTCGGATTTGCAAATGCCGACAATGTCCTGGGCACAGGAAGCCGCATGATTGATTTGAATTTAATGCGCAATGGAATTTATTTTTGTGGCTCGCCAGTAATTAGTTTTAGTCAGTTGCCAACTGAGCAACACAAATCCGGATTCTTTTTTCTATTTTTTTTTTTTTTCAGCCAGTTTATGGCAGGTGCTTCCGTTAGCAGAAACAAATGCAATTGGCAGCGTTTCAAGACAATAAAAAAACAATTTTTATCCAGACACTAAATGACACTATGATTTTTATATAAAAAATGTTAATAATAAGGGTTAAACAACAATTTTAAGACCTCTTTGGCTTCTCAAACAGGTTAAGCCCACATCTGAGGTTTAAATCTATTAAATGCTTTCAAGATTGGAATCAATTAAAAGGTGTGCTAGCTAATTTATGACCACATTGTGATAGTAGCAAATGGAATTGGGGCCTGGCTTATGTGCATCTGTTTGTGCATTTGCTGATACATACAAATCCCTGACAAAGTAAAAGTAGAAGTCGAGTACAAAAATGTATCTATGTATCTAAACAAAAGTATATTGCGGATACCAAATAACTGATCTAGAAGTATTATCCTGGTTGCCAAAGGATGGCATGCTAGTAAATACTTGTAAAAAGTATTTATATCATTGGAATAAGATTTTCACTACATGATTCCTATTGCTGTAGGCGCGAAAAATACTTTAACTTTCTTCCTATGAATTCTCATTATCATCATCATTGAAGCGATTCAATTGATATGTATGGAATTGAAATGCCAGTCAATCTTTGGCAGATTATTATTGAATATTGAATATGGAATCGTTTTGCTGTGGCCAGATGTCAAAATCTAATATTTGTAAACATCTTCATTTCGTTGGCGGCAGCTTGTGTCACTTATTCAACTCATTTATTGATTCATTCGAGACTTGTTTGTTTGTCAGCTCAGCAAAAGCCGGCGCACGTTTTTGTAGACAGATTGAATTGAGCCGAGGGCCCACTATGACAGCAATAAGCAAGTGAAGCATACTTTGTGCTGGTCTGTGGTATCTGCATGAACAGCTTTGGATTTGGCTTTGAACCTTAGTCATTGGCTAACTCAGTTATGCCAGACGCTGGTGAATTCATAAAATTGCTGACCTACTCCCCTACCATCCTTACTTCCACAAATTGCAGCAGCATCTTTGACGTTAACTGCCAGCTGTCTGACAGTGAGTTTTCATCACGTGCTTCCGATGTTCAACTCGACAGGACAGCCGGGACAGCCGGGTCTCAATACGTTTGTCAGAACTTTATTCGATTAGGTTAAAGCTGGGACAGGTCTGAAATGAGAATTAAGCAGACAATTTATGATATTCGAACTGACTTACAAAGGTCTTGATCTGGCCTGCCCTTTCTATATTTGAACTTAAATTATTATTAAGATTTATTATTAAAATCCATGCTGCAAGTACAAAACGATATTGTCAGTAGCTCGGTGCTACGGTTTGCACCAATGCCTAGCTTTCGTCTTACGATTCCACTTTTCCCCTATCCATTCAGCTTAATATATTTACATATTTTCATTTCTAACTATTTGTAAATTTTACCTTTTAAGAGTGCCTAAAATATCTTTACGTCTTAAGAGTTGTATTAATAACGTAATATTAAAAGAAATCTTGCAGTCTTCGAGTTTATTGGACTGACCTAGGCGAACGGATACAGTAAAATTCGATTGCTGCGTTTTTACTGAGTAAAAAATCATAAACCAGAGCTTCTTAAGTTAAGTGAAGTCCCTGTAAGAGTCTTAGTCGTATAAACATAAACTTTATAGGATCCTCTTCCTGCAACATATTTTTGTTTACACCCACTTGACAAATTTAAGCTTTGCAGGCAATACTAAATGTTTTAGCAAAATATTACGCATACGCAGTGTGGCTCAACTGGCAGATTTAGTGCATTTAATTGGCTAAGTTTGCGTTCAGTTTCCTCCGGCAAGTAAACAATGCTCAAACAGAAATGATTAGCATTCAACACAGAGAGCCC